CAAATTTTGTAAGTATTTTATTGCAATCACTGATATAAAATGAAAACATACCTTTGATTTCTTTATTTTCACACCATATCCTAATTTGTGTATTTTCATTTAATTCTTTAATTTATGGAAAGCTATTTATTGTTAAAATTTTCCTTTTTATAAATTTATTTTCATAGCTTTCAGATCCATTTGTCGTAATTATTAACAACTATTTCTTTTTAAACATCTTTACTCAAATTTATCTCTGTTAGGCAAGTCACAAGTTACAGACCAAGTCACATTTAATGTCAGCCTTGATAATTTCTGAAATTCTGAAATTTGTAAATTTATAGATTTTCAACATACATTAAATTTGTCTCCTTAAAAAACTGTTTATAGCACTGCAAGATCTATACAAATTTTTCCCAGTAAATTTGATTTTAGCATTAAGAAGTTCTTTAGCTGCTTGAAGTTCTTCAAGAATAGAGAGTGTTGCCTGATACATACAGTAAATGCAAATCCTTCTCATTAACCCAACTGCTTCCGTACATTTCTTTTTGATGCTATCATATTCATTTCTAGCACCCATGATTTTTTGGTTATTACCGTGTGTGTGTGTGTGTGTGTGTGTGTGTGTGTGTGTGTGTGTGTGTCTTCTCTTTTAATCGTCATTACTGCTCTACTACAAAATATATTACAAACTTTCCAATAGAGAAGCTGAGACTTTGAGGGTAAATCTTTCCAAAGCCACCTGGGTGGAGTTTCCTGGCTGTGTTCCCTTTAGCTACGTAATACTCAAACATCCATTTGATGACATTTGAGCCTTTAAGTATTCCTGACTCACAAACAATAGATGCTTAAAAGCAGCCACTGCTGACAAGCCTCAAATTGTCTTGACTCTTCTGGTATCCCTATTGCCTGAGTCTTTAAAGCCAATGTAAAACATTTAAGGCCAGTACAAAATGCATTTTCTCACTGTGGAAGAGAATAAACTCTACTAAAGTGAAACTGTTAACATTGGCAACCTATTGCCAGAAGTATTTAACTGCTTGAACTCATTGATATTGTTACTTCGTCTAATTCTAGCATCTTAGTTTTGATTGGCTGGTTGGTTGGTTGGTTGGTTGGTTGGTTGGTTGGTTGGTTGGTTTGCAGGTACAGGGGCTTTTATTAAAAATAGAACCATATCTGTGTTGTTGTTCATATTTTACAACTTTCCTCCTGATACATCTTTGAGATATGTGACAAGTGCTTAAAAGATGAGATGTCCAGGGAAAGGTGACGGGATGTGAGACCTGTGCAGGATCAGGCATCCACTACGCAAGGAGAGAAATTCCTTCTGTTTTCTTTCACTACTTTGTACTCTGTTCCCACACCATTACTGCAGAAATGGCCTGCATTTGGGAAAAATTAAGGCAATTTACAGGCTATGTCACTTTTCAATTCAAAGGAGATAAATAACAAAAACTGGAAATTACAACATAAAGTAAGATATTAGGGGAAAAGTATCTTTGCGATGCCGTTGTGGGAACATCGCCACAAATGCTCTTTGTGTAAGAGCACTATTCCTCCAAGAAATAAGTTTTGAGTTTCCAGAAGAATATTGACTATTAGCTATATAAAATTGAAATGCTATGAACCACCCTTTTAAAAAATATCCTCATGGTGCTGGCTTCGCAGTGTAGGGCGTAAATCTGCCACACACAGCATATAGGTGTTGGCTCATGTCTTGGCTGCTCCACTCTAAATCTGGATTTCAATCTCCACCTCTGGCTTTTGTGGAAAATTGGAGAGTGAACCAGTGGATGAAAGAGTCTGCTTCTCCCTCTCTCTACCCATAATTCTGACATTCAAATAAATAAATCTTTAAAATAAATATATATCACAATATTGATTCTGGGAACATTTAAACATAGCTAATTCAAAAAATATATATGTTTAAATGAATATCACATTCCTCATATTAATTTTCATGTATAACTAACATTTTTGAGTTTTTAATTCATGTAATCATGTTAATTTATGATTATATTCTCAGAGAAACATGACTATAATGAACTACAATCTTCACTGCTAAAACTAAAAGACAAATCATACTTTATGAACAGTGAAGAGCAAAGCACACTGGTTTCCTAGAGAAAAATATAAGTTGATTTTAAATTATTGCAGAGGAAAAAAGAGATGAGGGAGATTCAAGGGAGGGATTGAGAGAATGCAATAGGTGCATTGAGTATTAAATTCTGCTTTGTGGAAAATCCTACAGAGAACATCTCCTGAGTAACTAGTAATCATGGCTGCAAATGCCTTTTACTGCTTCTGTTAGAAATAGTCTGCTTTCCAATTTCATAGTATACTTCAAAATCTTCTAAGATAGACAGTAACTTAAGGTATTGTTACATACCTGCTTTCAAAGTGAGTTATTGGGTAATTTTTAAAGTTTAACCACAATTATTTTTTCAAATATTAATGCAGAAGTCTCTAGATTGAGGATATAATACCATTAGAATATGTACTGTATCTTTAACTTTAAAAATTCAATTGAATTAAATATGAAATTTCTTAATGCTCAGAATTGTAGCATATATTCCATTAGACGCTTTGATACCATCTCAATTATCTCATCTTTGAAAAACTGAATAGTTACAAGCAACACTTTTTCTTACTAGTTATGTAAACTTGGGTAGGTAGCTTACAGTTTCTATATCTTAATATCTTCACTTATTCAATTATTTCAGGAATTAAATCTAACATATTAGCACACAAAAGAACTCAAAAACAGGCTCTAAAAGAAGCAAATGTTAACAAAATAAGAAAGCAAAGAAAGGAAATATAAACCAGATTTTATTCATGTAAAAGAAACAGATCATATTAACAGTTTTTAACTCAGGGACTATTAGCACTGAAATTCATCTCTATGTCTTTCATTTACTGATCAATGATAGTGCCACAACAAGACACAGTTTGTTGTGATACAAAATAGACTGTGTTTTGGTCCTTTCAAAAATTATGCTTCAATAGCTTGATTCTATTTCTCAGAGTAAGTACATCACATAATCTAAGCAGAATACACATTAACTGTTGTATGCTGCGATAAGACTGGTTAGCATCTGGGAGAGGCCTTATAAAAGTGTTGACTAGTTTACTGTCAAAGTTTCTAATATTTTTAATTATTAAATCATTCATCCTTGGTTTCCACAAAAATAAAAAAACCCTAAATGAGGGAGTCAACTTATTAAGTCACTTAAATTTTATGAGTAATTCACCATGAAGTAGTAGTCCTCAATTTTTTTCTATGTAGAAATTACTTGATAAACTTGTCCAAACACAGGGATATTGGATCCCAAAGCTTTGAGTCTATTGACCTGGAGGAAGTTCAGACAACTTTATGGCTAAAAGTCTATAGGAGTTGCCAAAGCTGCATACCTGACATGACCCTTAGAAATCCACTGTCCTAGAGAATATAAAAAAAATTATATTGTTGAGTGTAATTATTTCTCCCCCAGGACTGAAATTTCTCCCAACCTAAATTGATGTCAAAAGTATAAAATATTAACATCCATCTTTCACTTATTCAAGAATTGGAATGGAAGCAAAACTTGTCTTTTGGAAGGAAAAGAAAATATCATGGATGCACCTATAGTATTTCTTTGATCCAATCCCCTGTAGTAAGCTTGTCCAATTTCCAAAGCAAGAACCATTGTTATTGCTTCTACAGAATTGGCTCTAAGTATCAGCAATGTAAGCTACACAGCTGACAAAATTTTCGCTTTCTGCCTTTTTCACTTCTTAGGAAGCTCAGTATCAAAACTTACGTCCCACTCCTAACAGGTGTACAACTCTCAGGCTATGTCTTTTATTCTAAAACTTTAGAGTTATCTTGGTTTGTTCTGAATTTATTTTCACTGAACACTCTTATCTTATTGCCAGGATTATGGAATGCATTGTGCATATTTTTTATCAATCTTTATTTTTGCTTCTTGAAATATAGCAGGATGAAAGCAGATTTGTGCTATCTAAAACCATATTTACAGGAATCCAAAAGGTTTGCATTAGTGGACCTTTGGGTCTCAGTCTTTATACTCCATAAAATAAATTAATGACAGACTTGAACATAATGGAAGCCTCCAGGCAGAAATACCAAAACATACAGATATTCCTTATGAAATTCAATTCAAGATAGTTATACCTCTGAAAATCCATGCCATCATAGAATTAATCTGTATAAATCCACTGTATTTTTCAACTTATTCATTTTTTCATTTTAGTGAAAAGTTTCTGGAAGTTTACATATCATCAAGTAAGATCAAAGCATTTTGCTTTTCTTAAATTTACCTCTGGCTATAGCCTGGGATAACTCCAGTAAATCAGAATTCTATGATGAACATTCTGTATTCATGTAGTTTGATAAAGAGATTGGTAGTTTGGAAATAAATGCTGATACAAGACTCTCTGCCTCCACTAGATTGTATAATTGAAGAAGCTAGCAACTGGCCTTACCTGCTACAATCACAATATGGCCTCTTAGACTTACATAATAGGTGTTTGACTTCTCTAACATACATAAAGTATAAATAATCCATGATCTGAATGATTAAATTATACAACAATCCTCTTTTGGAGAGCCCTTTGAATTCAGAGTAACAACTCATGAGTATGTACTTTTTGTTTCAATAGCTCAAGAATAAACCAGATTCCATTAAAACACTATCAAATGAGGAAATCTATGTTTAAGAAAATCACAAGATGACAGACTTAATTTCTAAACAATTCTGAGAGGTCTGAGGTTTTATCAGTGGAAAAATTTTCAAAGTTTTCATACCTATAAACTCTTATATTCAAAAATAACATGCTGTGTTAAAATCAATCCCTAACAACTGGTGTATAGACACATTTTAAGTTTTACATTTACTAATATTTTGGGGTTTTTGCTTTATGATTGTCTCTGACTAATCTGCATTCAATTGTTTTGAAATAGTCTAATGGTTTCATATGATTTTATTTTACAACTTTTAAAAAGAAAAATGTCTTGCCTTTGAATGGTAATCTTGTTCCAGTCTGGGATCTGATCCGGCTACCTGTTTGTATTTGTTAATTTTCATTTGGCGATTTCTCTCCTCTATATCCATAGCACCTATCGAGTAGAAAAAAACCCAAATAATTAATGTCCAATTCCTATGTTTGAGTCCTATGTACAAGATGTATAAAAGAAATGGTATGCTGACACATTATTTTACTCAAAATAGTTCACACAAACTAAATTGTCACACTACTTTTAATTTATTCAAAATATGCAATTTGGAAAACAAGTGTGATTATTAATATGTAAAATAATTTAAATATGAATAAAGTGCACACTGTTTTAAAGAGAAGACAACAAATCTTCATTTAATAGAAAACATTTTCCAGTACATTAATTCACAAGAATATCTTTGACACCACACACACTTTAAAAAGGCAATGTTATAAGATCTTTGCCATTTAATCCATCATGATTTAATTCATTTCGTAGTAATTAAGTTGTAAGTCTTATTATTTTTAATACTTTACTACTGCATGCAGAAAATATTTTCATAAAATAAAGCCATGGAGTAAAGCATGTTGGACCAGCATGTATTGGGAACTGCTTATCAGGAGCTTCTGAATTTGAATTCTCTACAATTAGAATCAAGAAAGAGGTTCTTGGAATAATCTGTCTGATATCAAACCAGGCCAATAGAGGCATAAAATACTGTTGAAATTAATTAAAGGGAGAAACAGAATGTAAGGAGGTGAAAAAATGAGAAGGTAGACCACACAAAAGTAATGACTTCTGAAACTGATTCTACCTCAAAACACATCAACTGCAGATATCAAGAGGTCTTTACAAGCTTCAGTTGGACCAAAATCAAATTCAGTTTGCAGATCCTAGCAAACACTGAAAGCATTTTAAGAGTGTATTTATTATTTTCATTAAACAATAATTTATAGGACATTTCTATTTCTCATAATATTTAATGGAAAAAACAAAATCCCAGCTATAAATAGAAATCCACACACTGAGAAAAATAAGCTTGGTGAATTCAAGTAAGTACTCATAATAAAATGTTGTAATGCAAACCTAGAAGCACTGTGTGTGTAAGAGTTTAAATAAATACTCGTTGCTTATGACTGTAACTTTAACTTTAACACTGCAGTAAATATAATGAGACAAAGTGTGCCTGTTAAATTAACAGGTGCTTTTTAATACTTACCTGATTTTAAAAACAGTATAAAGGATAAGGTGAATAAAATGTACCAGTGTAATTAGAAGTTACAGTATCCTCTCCTGGGCCAATATTTTAATTTTTATTGTTTTGATTTTTAAGTATTACACTCTTCACTGCAAAAAATGTCATCAGGCATCAGGTAATTCTTGTTAGTAAAAATTAATCAAAATAAAACAAAAAGGAAAGAAAAATGTTTCAGAAAAGAGAAAATCTTGGATAAAAGTACATACAAAGAGCTTACACTACAAAATCTCTAATACTCCAACATATTTAAATCAATTATTCATTAAAGTGACTGCAAACCATTCCTTAGTAGCTTTATTGTAATAATGACTAGACTAATTGACTCTGTTCCCAGCTTGAAAGTGAAAAGTACTCATATCAATGTAATATCAATTAAATTATAGATAAAACCCTGTGAATGCCTCGTGATATCAATGTGAAATATGCCACGAATAAATATCTATTAGTCTTAAAGCAAACTGCTTGAACCTCAAGAAATGTTCTCAAGTAAATTTTTATTGTCAACAATGTCAATCCATCACTAAAATCAATCCATCCCTAAAAAATACACGTATTAAAAGGATATTAGATGAGCGGGATTTTTTTAAAAGAAAACTTCAAGTGAATATCATAGTAGTATGTTAAATATATGTTGATAGCTTAAGAAGCTTAACCACATCTGCCAAGATATAGATCTAAAAATATATTCACATATAAGCAAATCACTTTTCCCAACATTCAGACATTTCTGGGGAAACAATCTCCCATGGAAGTTACTAAATTCTTGCTGATTATTAGCAGGAGGCAGATTACTTTAACATCATTTTTATTTCACAGGTAACTAGTTCTAAGTTTAAAAAGAATGTAGGCTGTATTTTATTTTTATTCATTTGAAATACCTTTCAAAGGAGGGAAACTGGCAGATAGAGCTATTTCATCCACTTGTTTGTACGACTAAACAAATTGGAAATGGAGTGATATAAATACTTATATGCATTATCCAAGTTCAAATCTTTCATCTCCAGTTCCAGCCCTCATCCATGGACAGATTCTGGCTTATGCAGGCAAACCAATGAAATTGCAATGCACTATTTTAGTTACCAAACTTGAATAAATATCCTCCTAATTTGTAACTTTGGTTTTCCTCTGAGAATTTTTGGGAAACAAACAGGTTCCTTCCAAAACTATTTGGTTCACACGAGCCTTCTATTGCTTTTTACATTTCTGGCCTACCCACACAAGTAAACAGACCACAATTTAACTAAGTAGCCATCTGTTTTGTGACAATTTCTCATGAAAATAAACACATGTATAACATCTTTTTTTATTAGTATATTCTTCATAAAACTAAAATATCCCTAATAGAATTTAAGGTTAGAAAAAAATTTATATAATTCATATCTTTAGCCAATATATTGCAAAATAATTATTAAACAGTTGCATTTACAAATGTATCCTAAATTATATCTTTTTTAAAGGTACATTTAAGTTTGTTTTTGGTTAAATTTAAGAACTAACAGTATTTCTACAATATGAGCTTTAATTAATAGTGGAGGTTTCCAAACAAAAACTGTTTCCTATTTCCTATTAAAGGTGTCTAAATAATAGATCACAAAAATAGACAAGGTATTGTTTGAACAAACCTAATTGGTTTTCAAGAAATGCATACAGATATGATAAATGTAATCAGAACATAAATCCAAATATTATATAGGCCCCTTCCTAATTGAGGATGAAGGAAGGTATTACTCTTCTTCAGTAAGAGAAACATTTAAAAATAATTATTTTATCAAACCATTAAGAGGAAATTTATTCTAACAATTTCTCTACTAAATTCCATTCTCTAAAGTTTTCTTCTTTTTTTAAAACTTTTCTTCTAATAAAATGTTAACAATGTAGAAGACATACAAAATAAAACAACAAAGACTAGCAATGGGAATGACAGAAATAACATTTTAAATGTGTAAAGTTAAAAGGGTCAAACCATGTACTTTCCAAATGTTAAATTTGCCATTTGAATATGTACCAAATGGAGCAGAATAAAGAGTTATCATTAATTAGTGTATACATCTAATTACCTTGAAAAAGACGACAATTACAGGTGAGAACACATGGGTATCTATTATCTAGATTCATGGAACACACAACACAAATAATAAGGATTTTTTTCAACAGATCACCATGTATAAAATGGTTGAAATGAATTTAACCACAATAGAGTTTGTGAAGTTTTGAAGCTATTCAGATTTAGGGTATGGAGGACAAATGAAATGTTAAAAACAACAATATTTTAAAAATAAGACACATAAGTTGAGTTTAAATCTTGACCTGACAAGCCCTGTGATTACAAATACTTCATTTCACTAATCTGAATATAAAATTTCCCTTCTATAAAATAGTTTGAGATAGCTGTCTTTTAGAAGCTCTTCCACCTTGTAACTGTCCGGTTAGTTGATTTGGACATTCAAATGATGTTTAAGTATTGTTTCATATTATCATAAACATTTCATAAATATACATAAAGTAAATGCTCTGGAAATTCTCAACCTGTCAGGTCTAGTATCATAAATATTCCCTTAATTTGTGTGTGTGTGTGTGTGTGTGTGTGTGTGTGTGTACAGAAGCAGAAGGAAACGAAATGAATTCAGAAGACAGACAGACAAGGAAAATAGAAAGGAGGGAGAGAGAACCTGATGTGACAATACAAATCAGGAACTTTGCCTAGGAAAAGGTCTATTTATATGGATCTTTTTTATATGTTATATCCATATAGTAGTATATAGATATCTATATATTAATATATCAAAAATCCATTATATATTTAAGGATCTTTTAGGTTATTGTTAAACTATAACACATTAAGGAGAAAATGCTACTAATTTTTTATTATTATAACTTTATAGTTACAATTCTGTGTCTTTGAAAAGCAAGCTGTAACTTCAAGGGTAAATCAGATGTTATGAAAGGCTCTCAGAGTGCAGCAGTTATTATTAAAATTGGTTGTATGAAAAAGTGCAACAATAATTGATGAAAGAAATAAACATGAGTCAAATTCATTTTTTATAACTACTTTGGAATCCACATTAAGACAGAGATAGTTCACTGTTCATGTTGATATCCATCTTACAGTATGCTTTGAGGGTCTTAATTATCATATACCACTGCATTTCACATCTGGGACCTAATTAACAGAGCCATAAAACATACTCTAAAAACATCAACTACATATCTCAAAACTATTTGCAATAATTTAAAGGAACATAATAAAAAAAATTTTGAGGTATATCTTGACATCTACCTATATTAAGAAATATTATTTAAATAAGCTTAAAATTATTGAGAATGCTCATTTAAAATCACACAGGAACAAAAATATTCATCATACAAAATTTAGACCTGTGCTGGAAATGAGATCCATATGCATGTATTTTCTTATATACATAAGCAATTGATGTAGTGGAGTAATCCTCGTGTTATTATTGAACATATGTTAGTGTCTGTAGTATAACAAAAATGACATTCTCACATCCCAACTCTTATTCACCCTTTTCATTGATACTGTAATTTTTAAAAACTTGTCTGATTCCCAATCATATGGTAAGATTTGGGAATTTTTAACTAGGCATTTTGCTTAATTATAGTGATATGTAAATACAGTCTGCAGATTCTACTATATCTGTAGAATTCTGAACAACTCAGAAAGATTATTTGCTCTGCATTGAAAATGAAAGAATGGTAGCTATCACCAAAATGTTTGATGTAAGTTTTGTGAGTCATGCAATTTACAAAAATGAAAACCTAAACAATGTAACTCCCTCCAAATTAATATACTCATATTCATTATTTTCATTCTGATTATTTCTAAACTTTCCATCTCAGGATT